CGTGCGTGACAAACACCGCGAACAAACACACGCGCTCCCAGAAGCCACGCTTCTCCGTATGAGGGAAAAAAGAGCCAGTCGGAGAAGTCGAGGAAAACAATAAGGTCACGTTCAAATTGGAAAAGTCCCGGGGCACCTGGGTGGTCGGTGGGCTGAGCTCCGACTCTTGATTTTTGGCTAAGGTTATGATCTCACGGTTCGTGGGACTGAGCCCCTCGTCAAGCTCCGCGCTGACAGCACAGAGCCTGCTGGGGATTCTCTCTCTGCCCCTCCCCTGCTTGTGCACCCTCCCTCCTCTCTATCAACGAATCAATCAATCGGAAAACTCCCTTTGAGTGCAGTTCGACACACGCACACAGACACGGACGCACACGGGCACAAACACGCCAGCCCGCCATGACCCCCGGCGCCGGGAGCACCCACTGCCCCACCCGGTCCTGAGAACCGGCCCCCTGGGAGCAGGGGGTGACGGGCCCAGCGCCGGGCCAGGGGCGAAGTCAGGGGGCGGACGTGTCGTGCCAGGGCATGAGCCAGAGCTCACAGAGCGCGCGGGGTCGCATCAGAGGTCTCGCAGCCAGGGACTGAACAGAGCCCCGTGGGACGCTGGGAACCCAGGGCGCCTCTGAGAGTGTGGTGCCAAGCGGGATAAACGCCGGGTCCACGGGCGCTCCCGCTAGGAGCCCGGCACCCCGCGCTGCCTACTCGGCAACAGCCGGTGCCGCGAGGGCCCGGGAGGAGGTCACGGCCGGCAGCTGGGACCGCAGGGCTAGGCAGGCAGCCCTCCCACGGGAAAGCACGATGCAGAGACCCGGAGAGCAACGCCACGCGGGACGGCGAGCCCGAGTGCCCGGCAGGCATCCCCGACGAGCAGGGAGGAGATGTGTTGGAGCCAAAGCCCGCGAGGCCCCTGGCCAGGGCAGGGCGGCGGGAAGGCAAGCTCTCGGGCGGGCAGCAGGCGGAGGGGCTCCCCGGTCCATCCCGGGGCAGGTGCATGGCTCGGTCCCTACCCTGGGACAGCCACCGCTCACTCTTCCAAAATGACCAAGAGACACACGTGTGCACGACCCGTGGCCGTCGGTGCTGAAGACAGCCGGCAACCGCCTGTGTCTACGCAGAGCGACCCTCTCACGAGCTCAAAACCTTCTATCACGAGACACAGGGGACCCAATCCCGTTCCTCTCTAACAACAGGGGTGAAGAGGGCACCCGGGGCCTTCTTACAGCTAGGGACAGGACCCAGGTGGGAGAGGCAGGGAAGGTGCCACTCCCTGGCTGGGAGCACTGAGGTCACATGCAGGCCGTCTAGGAGTCTAGAAAGTTCTTGTAGCTTTAGGAACTGCAGTGACCAGCTAAGAATGAGGGCACTTCCTGGGGCTTCCCGTCCAGGCCCCGGGGGGCCAACAGCGTGAGGACGGCATACACAACCTCACGGTACAGCCACAGCTCACGGCCCACTTCCCCTACCAGGGCACACCCCACCGGGCGCCCGCAGGCCAGTCGTGCTCATGCCCAGAGGACCCAGAGAAGGACGAGCGCCTGAGGTCAGAGCTCTAACGAGGACAGCAGCAGCCCCTGGCCCCCACCCGGAGCCCGGCCGCCGTGCACCCTGGGCGCTTGTGGGGAGGGGAGTCCCGAGCTAGGGTCTGAGCACTTGGCTGCAGACCGGACCCACGAGCGGTGGGCTCCTCTCTCCTGAAACACCGTGCACGACGGCCAAGGACGCGGGGCTCAGCGCGTCACAGGGCTCGGCCCAACTGACTGGACTTTCTCCACGGGGAGAAACAGGTACGACCTCGACTCTTGGGTCAGTGAGGACGGATGAGAAACAGGCAGGAGGCTGCACACCGAGGAGAGCAAACGGCCAGGCGGCATGGCCCCCGTCCACGGAGACAGACAGGAGGACCCGCCGTGGCCCACGGGGTGCCCAGGGCAACCTACAGCACACAAGCGTGCTGGCGTTCCTACCTCCCTCCGGGAGCTCGCCGGGTTCTCTCTCCCACGCTCCGAGTCCGAGCACAAAATGCTGTGTGGCCCACCGGCACTTACAAAGGCCGAGTTGGTATCCAAACAAACTAGCTGACTCCCACCTATTGAGAAGATTCTACACGGGATGTTCTCGTCCGTCTGACATTCCAAGCACACCAGGAAACCCCTGGCACGGCGAAGGGAGAGGAGACACCTAACCTGGGCCACCTGGGGCCTGAGCGGGCCCTGACCCCACTCCCGGGGCCAGAAGCCAAGAGCCGGAGGGAGCCTCCTTCCCTCGTCCCGCAGCCACAGAGGGTGTGCGGGGGGGGCACGCGGCCCCATGGCACAGGCACCTTGGGCCGCCACTCAGGACGGCCGTTCCCAGGTGCTCCCCCAGAGGAAGCGGCTGGCTGTGCCAGGCCGTGAAGCGGCCATGAGGCTGCCAAGAGGCTGCACCTCGGCACGCGGCCTTGACTCTCAGCTTGCCAAGATTTAGAAAACACACACTCTTCCCCAGGCGGCTCAGGCCGGACACAGTGGAGGGCCTCACACGTCACCAAAGCACCAACACAGCTGCAAACCGAGAAGCCTTCACGGGCAAGAGGGAAACACGACCCTAGGCGCACGTCTGGCTTGAGAACACGAGTGCGGGCTCCCAGGCTCCTCCGCTGCTCCCCCCCACAGCCGTGCCGAGCAGCTGTGGCCGCGAGTCAGAGCCTCACACACAGCGAAGGGGCCGTCCCTCCTCCCCACCCCGGGAACGGAAGGCGGAGGCGGCCGGGCGGCGATGGGCCCAGACACAGGGAAAACCCAGGAAGAGCAAAGGGGCCGGTCTGGACGGCCCCGGTGCCCTCACCACCCCCAGGTTAGGGCCAGCAGATAAAATAGGGACGCCAGTCAAATCTGAGTTTCAGGCACGGACCGAGCAATCCTGCAGCAGAAGCGGGGACATCCTTGTACAGAGAAGTCATTCGGTGTCTACGCGAAACGGGAACGTAACCGCACGGCCTGGGGCCCGCTCGTCAGTCTGGCCGCCCACCCGGGTCCCATCAGCGGAAGCCCGCTCCCGAGGCTGACGGACACGGGCAAGGGCTCCCAGGCCCACGACCGGTGCCAGATCCACAGACAGACCGGGCGCGGGGCGACGCAGGGCAGGGTTACGGGGAGCGCGTTACCTTCCTTCATGTTCGCAAACCGCTCCTTCAGCTGGTGATCCACCTCAGGACCAAAGGCAAAGTTATTCACAAATATAACACTGCAAAATAATATTCCAGTTGAGTACAACGAAGGCTCCATCCGCGCACGCGCACAGCACTCCGGGGCATACCATGCCACGGCCTCCTCCGCCAGCGCCCCAGCCTGGGGGGGAAAGGGGGTGCGACCGGGGCCCGCGGGCCAGGACGCTGAGCCCGGCTTGCTGCTGGCTCGACAACCAGGCGGCCCGCTTCCCTGGAGGAAAGGGGGACACCTGCTCGCCGGGAGGAGGCCCCTGGGGCCGAAACAGGACCGCAGAGATGTCCCCCGGGGACAGAGACGTGAGGACACCGAGGCAGCAGGAGAGGACCCGTGGGACCGGAAGCGAAGTCGTCCCCAGGGAGGGTGTGGCTCGTCCCTTCTCCGTTCTCCCTCGTGCCTGGCCCGGACACGCCGCCCCACGCCCGCCCAGGCCCGGCTCTCGCCCACAAGAGGAACTCTGACGGCCGCGCTCTGCGAGCAGCACACCGCTGGCTCATCTGAGCCCACGAGTAACCCGGCTCTGTGCGCGGTCGTGTGGCTCCTGTCTCCCCACCTAAGGGCCTCCAGGTAAAAACTACGCCACAGCGAGAACTGGGCACAGCCGTCAGAACTGCGGACAGGGAGTTTACCTCCTCACCAGAACGTGACGGAAGACAGAGAGAGGGCCGATGGCCGTCCCCTCGCTGCTCCATTTAAGTCTTGATAGTTTAAAATTAAAAAGCCTGGAAACCTGGGGCGCCTGTGTGGCTCAGTCGGTTTAGCGTCTGACTTTGGCTCAGGTCATGATCTCACAGTTCACGAGCCCCGCGTCGGGCTCTGTGCTGACAGCTCTGTCCCCCTCTCTCTGCCCCTCCCCTGCTTACACTCTCCCGAAAAATAAATATTAAAAAAAAAAAAAAAAAAATCCTGGAAACCGTCACTGCACTCAGTAACAGAATGGTCCTGGGGAGCCTGAGCAGGGCGAGAACAGACAGCGCACCCAACAGGCATTAGAGACGCAGAAGCGCCCAGTGTGCTCCCCCCACAGCGCCGCATGGAAGGAGGGCGGGTGGGACTTTAGGCCGGGGCACAGGCGTCCCTGGGGGCTGAGAGACCGAGCCCCGACGAGAGAGCTG